GAATTTTTGGATCTAAAAACCAAGAACCAAATCAAAATTGGGATCCCATCCATCAACTTATAGGTATTATTTTTCTATAAGCTCCCATTGAGACAGCTAATTGGCATTTGATTTATCACTTTTAGCTTAATACTAATTACTTTGTAAAATTTTCTGTATTACCTATTTGTGTAACTAATTACCCCAAAATAAAATGGCTGAATAAACATTTATTATCTTATCCTTTTTCTTTCCTTTTTTTTTTTTTTTTTCTTTTTTTCTTTTTTTGAGTAGAAAATTTGGAAGCAGCTTATCTCTGGCTCAGGGTCTCAGGCTCAACTGAGAGAGGGTCCGTTTCTAAGCTCACTCATGTGATTGTCAGCAAGCCTTAGAACACCTGTTTCCAAGTTACTCCCATGGCTGTCAGCAGGCCTCAGGACTCTGGCTGTTGGCCATAGACATCAATTTCTTGGTGACATTAGCTTCTCCATGGGGCTGCTCGCAGTATAGCAGCTTGTTTATTCCAACGCAAGGTATCTGAGTGAGAGCCCCCAAAACAGAAGCCAATCTTTTTATAACATAGTTTTGGGAGCGGTACCCTGTTACATCTGCTAAATTCTGTTCCTTAGAATTGAGTCGCTAAATCCAGCTCATACTCAGGTGGAAGATATTACAGAAGGGTTTGCATACCTGGAGGAGATGAAATCATTGTGGGCCATCTTAGAGGTTGTCCACTGCACCATCCTTTTAAGTTGCAAACTTTTTATTGTTTTGTTGCAGAATCCTTTCTCAGAAGGAAAGCTTATGGAGGAGACTCAAAATATAAAATAAATAAGATATTTCTTCTGTCCAAAACAGATTCTAGGGAGGTAGATCTTAACTGCTATCATCCTTCCTCTTTAGCTTCCAATCAATTTGAGTATTAGTATCTTTACCATCAAATGTCAGTCAAGAACATGAATAAATACTGGTTTTCTCATATTTTCATTTTAAAATTTGTCAATAGTTGTATAATTCTAACATAAAAATCAGGTATTGAAACATGGAAAACAATTTGTATAAATGTTTCTGGCAATTTTTAAAGTTGAGCAACTTCTTTAGTAGAGTAAATCTAATATAATGCCTTATTTTGTAGTATTAGCAGATATAATTTGTATATTGGTGTGATAAAGATAGTGATTTACTTACTAATTGCTGCCTGGGGTGTTAACTATTTCTAAGTTATAAGTATTTCTAAAAATTAATCACAAGTGTATAGTAGTACTTGGAATTCAAATTTAATATCAACGTGTTCTTTAAGATTTTATTTATTTGGGAGAGAGAACACAGCAGGAGGGAGAGGTAGAGGGAAAGGGAGAAGCAGAAGCAGACTCCCCACTGAGGAGGGAACTCGACTTGGGACTTGATTCTAGGACCCTGGGGTCATGACCTTGAGCTGCAGGCAGAAGCTTAACCAGAGGAGCCACCCAGGCTCCCCTATTCACATGTTTTTATAGCTGTTATGCTGTAAATTGTGATTCCTAATCAGTAACATAACTTATTTTCTTTATCTTGTAGTATAAAGAATATAGCTTCAAAATAATAGTACCAAAATTAATAACAAACAATAGATCTGTAAGTTTAGAGTTTCTTTATGTAGTCCTTATAGTCCTTAGACTATATCCCCTGTAAAGCTGTGTAAAATCATTTGAAAATCATTTCTGGGTGGTTATGTCAACAGTTTGATGTATAGTTAGGTTCTGGGCATTGTTTCTAAATCTTTATTCACATTAACTTAACTCCTATTACTGCCCCGCGAACTAGATTCTGTTGTTATCCTTATTTTACTGGTGAATACAGTTTTTGCCATCTTGATTTTAAGTTAATTTATGTTAACGGGAAAATAGTACTGGTTTTGTTTTTTTCTCTATGGATTGCTGTAGTGGGAAGTAGTGGATAAAATGAGGGAAAGGAATATTTTAATTAAGAAATGAGATGGTATTTATAATTTGGGGACTTTAAGGGTAATATATCATGGGACTATAAGGATAATAAGTTGTAATGGACTCAATTCAAATATAAACACACATCGCCCATATTTGTTTACATATGAACAATCAATGATGTCACTTAAATATGTGTGATTATGTGTATAATATTGCATTTTATTGTGCTGTTATAGGATTCTAAGTCCAGGATTTACCCTGAGCAACCTGCTACAACCATAATACCTTATATTAGAATTTTAAATCTTAAATGAAAATTTAGACAGTGAAGTTCCTGGAATCATGAAAATCAGTTGTGATTTAAATTGCTTTTAGCCAAAATATAATATCTGAACCAGTGGATACTATTGGAAGTGAAAGTTAACTACCACAGTTTTTTCTGAGCAGTTTTTTCACAGGTTCAGGTTCGTTTTATGGAGTAGATTTTTGTTACTAAAAAGCTTGATTTTGGTACTTAATTACTAAGGAGTAGCTTTTTGTGGATGAGTGTTGAATTTTTAGAACTTACACGAATTTTTTTAAAAAAATTTTTTTAATATTTAATTTATCTGACAGAGAGAGAGAGGGTATGCACACACACAAGCAGGGGTAGCAGCAGAGGGATAGGGAGAAGTAGGCTCTCTGCTAAGCAGGACCCTGGGATCGTGACCTGAGCTGAAGGCAGATGTTTAATCAACTGAGCCAACCACGCACTCCCACAAGATAGTTTTGAATAGAGCATTCTAATTTCTGGACTTTCTTTTCTAAGCTTTTCTGATAAAAATCCATTTTAGTTGAGCTTATGGCATGATTACAAACAGCTTTGTGTGCTGGTCTCTAGGTGACCCTTTTGGTTACTTTAAAACATTTTCAAGAGATTTTAATTTTCTTAAATTACTTTATGCAGTTGGTTCTATTTTAAATCAGAGTCTAAATGGAAACTGCATTTACTATAAATAAAAATCAGAAATTATTCAGTTCCTAGTGACATTTTTTATTCTAGCTTAATACCAAAAGGATAGAATATTTGGTTATTGCACCCGTATCTATTTTATCAATCCAAACATGTAGGACCTTTGTGCCAGGTACTTGCTCATTCTTCAGGTAATAGAAGTTAATCAGGAATCTAGAAAAGTTAACTAAGAGATCCTTTTGGTATTAATCTCTGTATTATAGTTAGAAATGGAGGTCTGTATAGTGCCCCTGTTTGTATGACTGGGTCATTTGAAAACAAAGGCAATAATTACTATTTTTTTAAAACTCTGATTTAGTTTGAAAAGCATATACTTTTTCCAAGACAATTTATATCTTCAAATTAAGTAGGAATCTAGCAAAAATCTTGGACGTTTGCTGTCAACCTTTACTAAATAGAAATGTGGCAAGAGTGAAATGTAAGATTTTCATTAGAATTACATTTTTTGTTTTTGTTGAGTGAGGAGTTTATTTTTTTAAAAGATTTTATTTATTTATTCATGAGAGACACAGAGAAAGGCAGAGACACAGGCAGAGGAAGAAGCAGGCTCCATGCAGGGATCCCGATGCGGGACTCGATCCCAGGACTCCGGGATCATGCTCTGAGCCGAAGGCAGACGCTCAACCGCTGAACCACCCAGGTGTCCCAAGTAATGAGTTTATACGCCATTTTCTCCTATTTACTTTTAAAACAAAGGAAGAGCTGGGGTGCTTGGGTGGCACAGTCTATTAAGCGTCGGACTCTTGGTTTTGGCTGAGATCCTGAATTCAGGGTGGTGAGGTCGAGCCCTGTGGTGGGTTCTGCACTCAGTGCAGAGTCTGCCTAAGACTTTCTCTCTCTCCTCTGACCATCCATGCTGTGCACTCTCTCAAGTAAATAAATCTTTAGAACAAAGGGAAAGCTATACATTATCTTTGATTTTTTCCATGGAATTAAGAACCATAAAAACCTTGTTTCTTAAAAGTGAGTAGTTGATTATTTACCAGCATAATGGTAAGAGAGAGGAGTATTACTGAAACATACCTATATCTTCAATAGGAACTAGAGTTTGAAGTCATCATTGCTGTAGTACATTAAAAGTGAACATGGACCTGATTAATATGTGTGGAGCTAAGGGTAATAGGATATTTCTTTTGAGGAGACCTTTTTTTCCTTTTGTTAGAAGTCAGGGGGTTTTTTTGTTTTGTTTTTAATGACAGGACCATTTTTTAGACAATTATTTAAAAAGCGTAACAGTTAATCAAAACTGTGACTGTACTACTTTGTACAAGTATTTAAAATAAAATCATTATTCTTTATTAGTGGCCTGGCATACTTTTATATGTGTGTGTGCTTGGTTTCCTATAGGTGACAAATGGCTATTTTAAAGACTAATTGGGGCACCTGGGTGGCTCAGTCAGTAAAAAGTCTGCCTTTAGCTCAGTTCATGATCCCAGGGCCCTGGGATGGAGCCCCACATCTGGCTTCCTGGTCAGCAGGGAGTCTCCTTGTCCCTTTCTCTCTCCCTCTGCCCCTCTCCCTGTTTGTGCTCTCTTTGTCTCTCTCAACTAAAATCTTTTTTAAAAAAGAGTTATTGAGTGATAAAGGGAATTGTATTGATGCTTTTTATCTGAATTCTTATAAATTGTTAGTTTACTGTGATTTCTACACCAGATTTGGTGAATATTAATGATACTGGCTAGTTAAGAAATGGCATATTTTGATCAACTAATTATCCTTGTATAATATTAAAAAGTGATGGTGTTGTTTCAGCAAAATGAAATAGTCTTATAGCTGATATTTTTGTATATTAAAATATACTTGCCATTATATTGGGATTAGAAATGAAGCCATTCAAATCATTTTCTTTTCCTTCTCTTTTTGATAGTGCCAGAAGTTTCTGCTGACATTTTAGTTAGCAAATTGTTTCTGTGTTTACTTTGGGGCATGCATATACAGTTATCTGGTGAATTTACACCCCTTTCCCCTGTAGTTCTACATGTATTAATAATCTCAAATAAAATTAATCTTCTTATTCTGATAGAGAAGAAAAGGCTGGATCACTTACCAGTAACTGGAGTTCTCCTATTGGGTAATCTCCACAGATCCACATTCTTTGAAGTTATTGTGAATGCCTCGAGGACCAAGGAACCGTTGAAATTTCCAATTTCAGGAAGGTAAGCAAGTGCACTGAAGCATGTCTCTAGCATCTCCCAAATCCCCTCCCCCCAACTTTCTTACATATACGTCTGTACTGCATGCCCCCTCAGTTCCAGTGGATGCCCATCAGGAAGATTCTCATGCTGGACAGAAGGGCAAGAGAGGTGGATCTGTGAGGGAAAAGACCCAATAGGATAACTCAAGTTACTGGTGAGTAATCTAGTTTTCACAAACTTGAGATTTTTTTTTCTCACATTTCTTCTCTCTAGAAAGAATTTGTTTAATTACAAAGAAGAAAGTTGAGATAACTTCAGTTTGTAAATTTGATGTAAATTATGGAATTTATTGTATGGATGATAAATACCTAGTTCTTAATGGGTATATGAATAAGTGACATTCATTTTAAAGAGTATAACATAATAGCTGTTTATAAAATAATTATGTCTGTTACCTTTTGGTAAATAGTATAGTACTTCTAAAGTAATTTAAGGAAGCTGTGTGTTGGATTATTTTGAAAATTCCTTTATTTGTAATGTTTTTATATGAAGTAAATACTTAACACTGTAAAACTTATGGTTATGCTAAATTTTGCCAAATTCTTTTGGTGTAGTATCAAACAGCAAAATAATAATTTAAATTAGTTGACTAGGACTTCTTACTGATACAGTTTTCAGTGTACCTTTTAACTTCATTGTAGGTATATTTAGAAAATAATTGAGGGTGTGTTACAGTTTTATTTACCACTTCCTTGTTCATAATATATAGACTTACTAAGGTGATATAGGTGACACAGTTGGTCCATTGTGAGTGTCTGCTTCCACAAGTACCAGTTTATTAAACTGACATAGTAGAATTGGACAGAATTATTTGCTTCTTGTTTCTCTCTCATTTAATCTGTATTGTTATCAGGTTATCCCTCTAAAAGGGCACTTTTAACATGTAAAGAGCCTGTAGTGGTGCTCCATTCAAACTGTTCTACAGAATTTTCATCCATTTGCTGGGTACCTAAGGCCTCTCCTACTCTAATCCTATCCTATTTATCCAGCTTTAATTTCTTCTCTTTTGGTCTTACTTCTGTACTTGTTATATTCATGCTTTGGTGCTTATGCTTTGCCATTTTTTTAAAGTGGCTTTTTTTCTTTCTTTTATTATTATTATTTTTTTAAATTCTACTTTTCTGTAAGGTTGAGATCAAGTCCTATCCCTTACATAATTCCTTTTATGCTAGCATCTCTCTGTGATCTCTGTTTACTCAATGGAAAAATGAGATTGCTCTGAGGATTGAATTAACTTCTGGAATTTACTTAGAACAATGCCCTGGTAAACACTCTTATTAACTATTACTTGATTGTAGATGGAACATTTCTGTGATTACAGATCTAATTTTCATCTGTGTGACACAGTTTAGCCTTTTAGCCTTTAAATATTAGTTGTAGGTGGTATCACTATTTCTTTGTTTTGAAACTCTTAAGCTAATTTGTATGATCATGGAGAACAAGAATAGGATTTATTGTTTTTAGTATTTTTTAGTTCTAACATCAGTCACTGAGATTAAATTATATCCATTAAAAATAGTTTTTCATGTAGTTGATAGAAAAATTAGTTGTTCATGAATATAGTATAAATATATTTACTTAAGAACAACAGTTTTTTCCCTTTAAAACTGGGATAGTGAAATTATAATTGTATAGTGCAATATAAATTTCTTCTTGGGACATTAAAATAGAAGGTATAGTTTTGAGAAAGTTAACTAGTTGGCTTCACTTTAAGACTGTGTAGTGTTAGAAAACAAACTGGAAATTCAGTGTACTTGATTTTTGAGGTTTAAATATCTTAGAAGAAAAAAATATATCTTAGAAGACTATTGCTTTATTTTTAGAAATGTTTGGATTTAAGAATACCTGTCTGAGGAAATAGTAAATGAAATCTAATTTTATAATTACTGAAGGAAGAAAATAACAGAATAAGTGTCACTTTTAAATAGTCACCAGAGAAACCAGTTCAGGTCCAATTAGACAAGCCAAAATAAAGAACATTTAGATGACTTATTTTGAATTTACTTCTGCACATCCATGTAAGACTGTTCAGTTTCATTGTTTCTTTTCTGTGATAGTGATATGGTATATTAAGGATATGCTTATTTTTTATTCTTTCAGAGATAAATGCTGAAAAAATTTTAAGTGAAGTATGATGGGTTCAGGAAAAAAGTGTGGGTATTTGGGTGTGGTGTATATATGTGTATGTAGAGAGAAAATAAATGTGGCAAACGTTAACAATTTTGAATCTAGGTGAAGGGTATACAGGGTATACATTACACTTTCAACTTTTCTGTGGTTTTGATATTTTTCAAAAAAAAGTTGAGAAAGTATTTTAAAAAGAACCGTATTGTGTTTCAATTTCTCTAATTCTAAAATGGGAATAATAGAACTTGTTCTTTCTATGCCTTGTTACAAGTAGGCACAGCAGGGGTACATTTGGTAGAATAGCAGTCGAGAACTTTTAAGAAGTGGGTTTTTTTTTTTTATACATTAAAGAAGAGTTTTATAGTGGAGAATATTCAAAGAACATTTCACGTAAAAGTGTATTAGCTTAAAATATATCCCTTTTTCTTATTCAGAGTTTATTGCATTAGAATCGAACAAGAACAGTCAAGAAGCAATAAATATGTAGAGATGTATGAAGTAACTAATTGAAATTGAAAAACATAGCTAGTTATAAAATAACAATGGGCAAAAAAGATTAGACATAGCTGAAGAGAGAAGTTGTTAATTTCAAGATAAAACTTTTAACTCTTCCAGAACACTGCACAGGAAGAAAAAGGGATGAAAAGTATAAAAGAAAAACTAAGCTAGCAGTAGATTGAAAGCTCCAGTGTAGATCTGATTGGGAGTTCCAGAACGGAGAATACAGAGAATGGTGGAGAAGCATTATTGAAGAAAAAAATGACTAAACATTTTCAAGAATTTTTTTTTAAATGGAAATTGTAGAATAATTAGAACTGAATCATAACAAAAGCATTGTATCAGAACTTAAAGGATACAGGAAAAGTGGTGCCTAGGGGTGAATGTATAATCTTAAATGCATGTATTAGGTTGAAAGAAAGTAAAGAGCCAGATACTCAACTCAAAAACTACAAAAGGAGAACGTAAAAGCTGAGAAAGAAGGGAACAAATAAAAAAAATAGAATTTGGTGAAATAGAAAATAATCAACAATAAAAACAACAGTAATGTTTATTTAAATCAGAGCTGGCTCTTTTTAGTTAAGTTCTGGACATACTTATCAAAAAACAGATGATGCAAATAATAAAATTTTAAGTGAGATATAACTACAAACACAATTATAATTTTATTTTTTAAATATTTTATTTGTTTATTTGAGAGAGAGAGAGAGACAGCATGAGCATGAGCAGTGGAGAGGAGGCAGAGGGAAAGGGAAAAGCAGACACCACTGCCGGCTGAGCAGGGAGTTGGGTGCTGCTAGATCCAGGACCCTGAGATCATACCCTTTGATCATGACCTGAGAGGAGGCAGATGCATAATCAACTGAGCCACCCAGGTGCCCCCAAACACAATTATAATTTTAAAAATCACAAGAAATAATTATTAATTGATATGTATATATTACACATATATAATATACATATATATGTTTTCTAGGAAAAACCATTCCAGAATTGTAAAGAGAAAGAAAATCTAAAGAAATTTAAATACCATTAAGGAAATTGAAGTAGTAAATTTCTACTAAGTTTCTACTAAAAAACAGGTTTTTAAAAATAACCTTAGGGGCACCTGGGTAGCTCAGTCAGTTAACCATTCAACTCTCTTGATCTCAGCTCAAGCCTTGGTCTTAGGGTCATGAGTGTAGGCCCTACTTGGGCTCTACACAGGGAGCCTGTTTAAAAATAATAATAATAATAATAATAATAAAAGTTACTATTTTATTTTTATTTTATTATGTTACAATTCACAAATCCTATCATGTATCCATTTAAAATGTACGTACAGTACAGTTGTTTTTAGTATTTGGAGAGCTGTGCAGGCATTACTATGACGTTTTAGAATACTTTCACACCCCAAAAAGAAACTGCTGTACCTGTTAGCAGTAGATCTCAGTTCTTTTCAAACTCTCCAGCCATAGGCAGCCACTGATTTATTCTGTTTCTGTCACTTTGCCTATTTTAGACATTTCATGTAAATGGAATCATTCAGTATGTGGCCTTTTGCAACTCACTTTTTTCACTTATAATATTTTTAAGGTTCAACCATATTCTAGCATATATCAGTGCACTTTATCCCTTCTATGGCCAAATAATATTTCATTTATCCATATAATATATTTTGGTTATCCTTTCATCAGCTGATGGATGTTCGGATTGTTCTGCATTTTTTGCCTATTAAGAATAGCTGCTGGGATGCCTGGGTGGCTCAGCGGTTGAATGTCTGCCTTTGGCTCAGGGTCTGATCCCAGGGTCCCAGGATCGACTTCCTCATTGGGCTCCTGGCAGGGAGCCTGCTTCTCCCTCTGCCTGTGTCTCTGCCTCTCTTTCTGTGTCTGTCATGAATAAATAAATAAAATCTTTTAAAAAAGAAATAGCTGCTATCAGTATTTATGTACCAATTTTTTATATGGGCATACATTTTCATTTCTCTTGAATATATATCTAGGAGTGAAATTGCTAGGTCATATGATAACTATGTTCAACCTTTTGAGGAACTGCCATACTGTTTTCCAAAGTGGCTGTGCCATTTTACTTTCCCACCAGCAGTATAAAAGGTTTCTGATTTTCTATACCCTCTCCAATACTTTATTTGCTTTTTTATTTTACCCATCCTCACTGTGTGAAGTGGTATCAGAGGAATAGTTTTATTTTTTTTTTAGGGGAATAGTTTTAATTGTGATATTTATAATCCTATTTCAGATATACTTTTGGGGAACCAGATAATTCTATTTTTATACAAAATGATTCAGATAATGAAAAAAAGAGGGAAAGCTACCTTGCTACTTATCAGACAAGTG